GTGTGTCTGCAGTCTGTCTGTAGAACTGTGGGCAAGGCTGACTTGTAAATCTGTAGATTTGATTTTGCCTCTGTGTCTTCTTAAATGCTTGTTCTGTGCAGAGCAGCTTCTTAACCTGAAGTCCGTGAACTCCTGGTGGTGTTTGCAAAATGTGTGTGCCTTGCGTTTTCTGAGAGGAGAATCTATAGCTTCCATCAACTTTTCCGGGCAGGAAGGGGGTGTCTGACCCTCCTCAGAAGGTCAGGAGCCATTACTCAGCAGTGTACCCCCACTCCATAATATTTCTTTGTTTACTTCTAGATCCAAGCATAACCGGGAAGTCCTCTGACCTATGTTTTCTTGGGAAAACCTCAGGGTAGTGATGGCGAACCTATGACACGCAAACTCATTCTTTTCGTTGATTTTTCTTTGTTAAATGGCATTTAAATATATAAAATAAATATCAAAAATATAAATCTTTGTTTTACTGTGGTTGCAGATATCAAAAAATTTCTGTATGTGACATGGCACGAGTTAAGTTAGGGTTTTTCAAAATGCTGACACGCCGAGCTCAAAAGGTTCGCCATCACTGGTGTAGGAGGTGGGGCTTAGGGAGGTAGGTGGGTCGTGAGGGGATCTGTGCCTTAGGCGCAGAGCCTTGGAGAGCTACCTCTCCCCCCAACTCTCCACCAGGGAGGCACAGGAGGAGTCAGCAGCTCCTCCCAGACGCGAGATGTGCAGCCCCTGACCTCAGACTCCTCAGCATCCACATGGGGAAGTGAGTGTTTGTCGTTGAACCTCCCCGGCTCTGGGGTGTTTGTTACGCGGCTGCACTGACTGAGTAACATCTTCCCAGCTATGAAACCCTGTGGCTCTGCGGGATTTCTGGGGCAGCACTCTGTCTCACATGCCTGTACATGTAATTGTCTTCCTTTAGGAATCCCAGGTACATGTATACACGCACTTAGACGTCTCTCCCGTTGCCTCCGGTATGTAGAAGTTTGTGTTTGCCGGGAAACCAGCCTAAACTTTCAGAGGCAAGAATAAGGCACTTGTTTACTCGTTTCCTCGGGTGTCCCATGAGCTAAGGAGACTCCAGCCTCCGTTGTTAATAAGAAAGCACCAGCCTCACTGGGGACTGCGTATCACTGGGGACTGAGCGCCTCTGGGCGTCCCAGCAGGGCCGGAGCGGAGCCTGTCGGGAGGGAGGAGGTCCTCCTTGTATATGCGCTTCCTCTTCGAAAGGTCCCGGGCCCACACTCGCTGTCCTGTTTCCATAGCTTATTCCCAGAGCAGTTATCCCCGTCGAAGACACTGCATGTGAGTGTGCACTCTGTAGGTCATTTCACCTCCTTTCACCTCGCAGAGGAGAGGGGCTCTTTCATTTGTTCTGCTTTCCGTGCTCTATCCCGGCCTAAAGGGGACGGCATAGCCTGTGC